GCACCTATGCAGACTGACAACACCGATGTATTTGGGAATATTGTAACCCGTTATTATTAAACAGTTTTAAGTTCTTTGTCATAGTTTTAGTGTAATATCTCACTATACTACACTATTCGTAGGTCTTTTATTTCCCGCTTTCCTGTTTTTTTATCATTCCCTGTTGCTATTTTCAGATTTGAACCGCACCTAGACTTACCCATAATTAATATTTTTGTTTCAGCATATTGTGCATACACATTCGCACACAAACATTTGCATTCACCACCCTTAATAAAACTTGTCCTATGTTGCTTTTCATTGTTATGTACTGATTGTTTTTAGTTTACTAAGAACAATATTATCATTTAAGTTCTTATTTTTTGAATATGCAACTATCATTTTCTGCTTATAGAAATGGGGGGATTTCTCTTGAAGGCTCTTATAGTGGGCATGAACTATCTTGCTGGCTCGATTGCTGGTTGTATTGAACGGGACAACAAAGGGCGCTATGCCTACATTATGGTGAATATTTAGTCCTAGGTCTTCCTGTATTCAATGTCTCCTAGATTGACGGAATTTGGTAGTTTCATCTTTGGGCAAGTCAATTTCCATGCGCTCAATTGGGATTAGTGTGAGATCGTCTATTGAATGGTCGTCAAGGTTGAAATGATTAGAAACATGCTTGTCTTTCTTTAATTTGATATCCGACCTATGAGCATTAAAACGAGTTCGTAAATTATTCTTAGTTTCTCCTACATGTTGTTGGGACATTTCTTGCCTGAAATTAAATATATTACATTCGCATGTTCACATACTGGACAAACATGGAGCACTTCTTAAACCTGGAGGTACTTCGGCATTAAGCCTGTTTTTAGCTGATATCTGTGCTAAGGTGGAATTTTTTTATGTTTCGAAAAATCGTTTAGAGTACCCACGCTCTTTCAGTTTTGAGAAAACAATCGTACAGGCTTGGTTGAAATCAGAAGATCTTGTGCAAATTCGAGGAAATCGTAAAACTTGTTGTGACTTAATTATACTAGAAAAGGTATGTTTTGGGTGAAAGGAGCTCTTGTGCAAGAGTTGATGAGTATCAGTTTCTTTGAAATACACTTTAATATCCAGTTTATTTGTTTCTGCTATGGAATCTCCCTTAAAGACAGTGGTATCGAGAAAGTCTATGCTTTTGTTATTCACGTTTGCGGTTAGTTTGATAGAAGGATGGTGGTTGTTGAGAATTTCAAGGAATTCCCAAAACTGTTCGATAGAATAAGTCCAAACCATAAAAATGTCATTTAAAAAGCGTCCGTAAAAAAGTGGGCAACACCTCACGTTCCCACTCTGCCATGAAAAGGTCAGCTGTCCCTGAAGTTTGTAAATATGTTTTACCATTAAATGTGAAATCGTTTCGACTACGACAAATCTCTAAAAGCTGTAGAATTGCATCTGTTTGGATCTGGGTTTCTATTAAAAGCTTTACGAACTGCCGTTAAACCAGTAGTGTTATCGATATTGGTATACATAGAAGAAACGTCGATAGAAATTAAAATAGCATTAGACGGAACACAAAGATTTTTTATTTTACTGACAAAATCGGTTGTGTCTTTAAGGTAAGCGCAATGTTGACATGCTAGAAGTAGTAAGAAATGATCAATATAAAAAAAAATATGTGCAGCTACGATTTCGTTGAAATCGTTCATTGCATGGTCGGAGATAATTCAAGTTGGCTATCTTTGGTGTGGGGATAAGTCCACTGTCTAAGATTGAATGCTGAAGGGGTGTGAGAATTTTGCGGCTCAAGTTAACTTCAGTTTGGCCAAGCGGTGGCCTCTCAGTATTTTTATCCCCAGTAATTAGTTAAAAGACTTACTCGATGCTTGAAGCTGGTGCATCCAAAACAAATAAATACTGTTTTCTGTTTCTGGAGACCAATGAAGATTATCAACTAGTTCGAATTCTTCTTCGTAGGATGGTAAGATTGTTGAGCTGTTGATACTGGACTCCACCATCAGTTGTTGAGGGTGCTGAGGTTCTGTTGTGCTTTCTTCGAGATTTTATTTGGGATGGGTATACATGTGAAGAGGATCTTGGAGTTCGGGAAGGTTTTGTTGGCTGTAGCGATTAATTTCTGGGCTTGGTTAAAGGAGGTCTTTAGTAGCTGATCACGGTTGTTGAGGCCTACATGAAGAATAACGGTAGTAGGTTTGGGATCATGTTCGTATGATTCCAGGATTGACTGTATGTGATCGATTTGGGCACCGGGGTAAGAATGTATTTCAGTGTCTGAACTGGTTTTGGTTATTCGATTCAGGTTAGATGATCCAATCATTAGGGTAGATATCTTTAGAGCAGGTAGATTCCATAATGATTTGTCCTGGGGTTGGTGATAATGGTCGTCGACGGGGTAATTGGTACTGGTTTTGGTAGTTGTTAGAATTGTAGCATTGGGAACGGACTGGGATCTGGTTCGAGGGGGGGGGGGGGGTTCTAGATACACGCCTGGCTTCTTGCCATTGGTTGTTGTAGTTGACTTGAGGTTAGAAAGGAACTGTACAGCGAATGTAACAGAAGAAAACTGTATATGCTAGCGTGAAAATATGGGGATCAAATTATGCAAGTAAGTCTAACTGGGTTTGGGGATATATAAAGTAAGATGAAAGTTATGATGAAAAATGCAAAAAATATATATTTAATAATTTAGGTGATAAATAACGCTATAAATGATGTGCAAAATTATAACAAGTAAAACAAAAACTTAAGCAATTGACACATATATTTTGTCGAATTATCTGGCAGAGGGACAAGTGACATTTTCGAAGGAGGAAACTGACCAAAATCTTTCGCGTCGATGGGAGTAAAGCCCAAAGCCGACAATAAGGAAGATCTGATGCGTTGGATGAAATAATTTGGACAACGCCAGGATGGAGAACAACAATCTGGACAGGAAACTGAAACAAAAGAGAGGAAAGACATAAAGATAATTTCCACTTCATCTATACCGAAAATTTCATTTTTCTCTGGAGATTCTTCATCGAAATCTGATGTCTCTTTTGATGTTTGGAAATTTGAAGTGGAAGAGCTACGTCGATCTACATACAATGTGGATTTTGTAGGCCAAGCTGTTATTAAATCTATGTGGTGAGGCGGGGCGAGTTTTAATACGCCTTTGACATGATGTGGATATGTCAAGACTGATCACTAAACTCACAGGAATTTTTGGTTGAGTTGAGGAAACACAGGATCTGTAGGCAGGGTACCACCAAGTTGCTTTAAGAGAATGTGACAGGCAGAAGACTGTGTTTTGGACCCCTTGGTTTCTACGATTGCACTCATGCCTTTTGGTCTCACAAATACCCCAGCAACTTACAAGAGGTTAATGGAGGAATGCCTTGGAGATCTGAATTTGAAAATATGCGTTATATACCTAGATGATCTAATAATATTTTCGAACTTGTACGAACAACATCTGGAGAGGTTAAGAAAATTATTTCAACGATTGGATGAATGCTGGTTAAAGCTAGCTCCTAAGAAATGCAAGTTTTTCCAGGAAGAAGTCAAGTACATAGGCCACATCGTCTCATCAGAAGGTATTAAAACCTACCCTGCTAAGATCGAACAGGTTAGGAATTGGAAAACACCTACAAATACGAATGAAGTACGACAGTTTCTGGGATTCATTGGTTACTATGGAAGATTTGTCAGGAATTTTTCTTCCATAGCTAAACCATTGAATGCACTAGTAATTGGTGAACCAATTTCTAAGAAGAGGGGAAGGAAGTCGAAAAATGATAATCCTTCAACACTATGGAAATGGGAGAGCGAGCAAGAATTGGCTTTCCAGGAATTGAAAAATGCATTGATTTCACCTCCGACATTGGAAACCCGTATCATTCAAAACCTTACATCGTACACACTGATGCCATTGGACGTGGACTTGGAGCGATACTATATCCAAATCAGGAATAAAAGAATAGAGTAATCTCATACGCTAGTCGTGGATTGAGTAAATCGGAAAAGAATTACCTTGAACACAAATTGGAATTTCTTTCGCTGAAATGGGCAATAACTGAAGAAACAACAACCTCGATTGGATGAAAAGACAACAGGAATATCCAATAAAAAAGGACCAATCCATACTGCGGTCTCCACCTACATCATCAGAGGAAGCAGTATTATATTGAAAGAATTTGACCATCTAATGTTGTTGTCCGATACCCTATATCGTAAAGTACTTCCAACTAGTTTTACCAAAACTGGATAGGAAGACGGCACTTCAAGGACTTCACGATGACATAGATCACTTACGGAAAGATAGAACCTTCTCTTCTCAGGGAACGTGTCTATTGGCCTAGAATGAGCACAGATGTTGAGGAGTACATCAAGAAATGTACTAGATGCATAATGAGGAAAACATCAACGAACAGTAGAGTACCACGAGTACCAATCAGCCCATGGAACTCGTTAGTATGGATTACTTAAGTTTAAAGGAGTCGAAAGGTGGATATACTTGTCATCACTGACCACTTCACTAGGTACGCTCAAGCCATCCCTACCCGTAATATGACACCCATTACCACTGCACGAGTATTCTATGAGAATTTTATTGTCCACTACGGATTCCCAAAGAGAAAACACAGTGACAGAGGAGGAAGCTTCGAAAACAAGATATTTGAGGAATTATGTCTACTTTCTGGTATGCAACACCTTACCATCCGCTCGGCAACAGAATGTGCGAAAGATTCAACAGGACTACCTTGGATATGCGTGGAACATTGCAACCGAGTCAGAAATCTGATTGGGAAAAGGAACTCCCTGGATTAGTCCATGCTTACAATTGTACCGGACATGATAATATATTCATTGATAATACTATAATAAAACACCACTTTGTCCTCAATTTGTTAACTAAGCTTCAAGTTGAATTAACAAGCTGGTTTATCTATAGACTAGTTTTGGTTATTGCCAATCATGCCATGATACAATGTATTGTTTTATTGGGTAATAGATTAAACTTAGTACTTAAACTTTGAATTTTCAATGTTTTATACACACATTTATTTTACATATATTAAATATATTAAATGTCGACATCTTACTGCTAACATGTTATATTTACGAATGGACAATCAAGATATATTTTTACACACGTTCAGAATGCCTAGAATCGTAAAGTAGCGATATTGTTGCATGTCATATCAAAATATATTGATTCACTAGTGTATTGTGCTAGTACTGCTATAAAATATCAAATCAACTCAACAGTTATAATAAGTAAAAAGTTAAAATTAAGACACTTTATTGGCTCTGTAAAGACTTTGGTAATCCGTCATCATTTAATAAACATTCTTTGGGATCTGACAAAACTTGAGGTCCTTTACCTATCTGAAAAAGAAAAGTATTATCATGATAGTAGTATAATCAAGCACAGATATCTTTTCATTATGAGCTGTCCACTTTATTTTAGGGTGGATAATAAGTAAAACAATACAGGCCCAAATTAAAGGGACAGATTTAAGTTAATCAGTAATAGTGTTCACAGCTCACCCTCGAAATTTTAGCCTTCAAATTCATGTGTGTTCAGAATTATTTGTGTTTGATTGTTAAAATGACGACTAATCATTGTAAGATATTCTGTGATATATAGAAAAGAAATATATGGAAATAAAGAGTGAAATTCATATTTTGAGGTATTTTTGAAGAAATTATGTGATTTTTGTACATTTCTAGCACTTTTGAAGACTATTTACATATATTCAAGACCCAAATCAACCCTTGAAAATGGGTCCTTTTAATTCTGTTACTTAACAAAGTGGTTTGTTTTCAAATACTGAAATTTACTCTTATATCATTCTTTTTAAATCTGTAGTGTAGCATTTATTCATTTAGAAATTACAAATTTATTTAACACATTTATATTAGAAGGCTTAGTCTTTGACATAAAAAATAGCTTACTTCGACAATTTTTAAGAATAATTTTTCTGGTAGGAAAGGATATTTCTTAAGTCAAAAGATGACAAAAGAAGAACAAAATTTTAAAGAGTTAAAATGAAATTATGTTATATATAACAAAGATTGGGCTTCATAATAGAAATAAAATAATGATTATTACCTTAGTGTTTATTAAATATTTGATAGAATTTGGTGAAACAGGTATATTAATAGCATCTTTATCTTCCTGTAATAAATAAAGGCAGGTCATCAACTATGAATAATGATCTTTCTTCAAATCTCAGAATTATTACTTACAAACCTGCATGAATCAGATTAATGAAGATAGCTTGCCAGGCAAGGTAATATATTCCGACTTACAGCTTTGTTTTAATTAGAATAATTGGCAGTACAGTAACAATTACATGTATGAAATACTCAACCTTTAGTCATAAAGTTATCTGTAATTTTTGGGTTTTCAACTGGACTTTTCCTTAAATGATAATTATTAATATTTTCCAATCTGTCACAAATATTGTCCTTTTTACATGCTTGAAATCAAACATTATTCGAAAAACTAGGACGTTAACTCATTGATTTTTATCTGTTTAATTAGACAATGATCACTTAAAGTCGAATTAGTTTTATAACTACCTGAGTTGGTGTCTGTAAGGTCACTGGCCGACCTTGTATTGTTAATGTCAAGCCGTTATTTTGTGGTGGAAAGTAATGATTAACTAGTGATACTACCCGAGGTAAATCTTCTTCCAATAGATATAAACAAGCATTTGGACCAGCGTCAAATGTATATGCTACCTAAACATCAATAATGAAAAAATAATGAGTAATGACAGTTAGTATTCATGTACCAAATGATTCCAACTCATTTGATGCATGACAGATGCAAGAGAGTAAATTGTTGTACATTCCTGACTACAATTCTGTGTTGACACCCGAAGAATGACATTTGCAAAAATGATTTTTTTAATATGGCAGATATTAACAATTTAGTATTTTCTTAAGTCTACAACTTAAAGGGATTGTAAAAAGGTTTTCTGATTTCTAAGTGTTTGATGAGGTCACTAATCGAGAAATATGCTTTATCACATAAAGTCTTTCATGTTTCGTGATGTCATCAAACAGTCTTAATGGAATTGAAGGAATCATAGACGTTATTAATGTCCCCGATACACATACAAAATTCAGAAAAACCACTTTACAATCCCTTAAATGATGAGTAATAAACATACCTTAGTTTGCTGACAATGGTCATTGAACTGGTGAACAAAACTGATTATCTGACGTGACACATCTGTGAGATAAGATATAGGTGGATATGTATCTAAACATATTGCATGAAACTGATTGCTATCCTGTAATGTTCAAATATAGAGATCATAATTGTGACAACTAGTATTGGTGAAATGTACTATCAATGACATATCAAGGTTCTGAACATGTGATCTTTACAGATGAAGGCTGAAAGTCAGTATCTAGTGTGTCCATCTTGTGTATTGATAAAATGATAATGACCCAGCATCTTCCCTTCATGGAGTGAAGAGAATGGAAAGCTGCGCTGAGTTCTGTTGCATTTCTTGGAAGCGGTTGGATCTGGTTTAGTCATCTTTGGACTTAAGTCCGGGCTGAGTGAGGGCCATGGCATATGATGTTATGCTGTTGAAGGAAGGTTCTGGTGGGTGTGGACGGCCATTGTCATGCTTGAATGTGTGGCTTTGGCATCTTACAAAGTGCGGTCCAAAGTGGGGTAAGAGAACCTGGTCGATGTCACGGCAGCTTGACTCCATGGCCTCTGTCTGGGCCGATATTCTGGAGGACAACAAGTTTCTGATTGATGCCAATTGCACCCCATACCATAATGCTTGGTCTTCCCCACGGGTCTATTTCAACCACACATTGATCTGTAAAACATTCACCGCTATCTGCAGTGGAAATGCAGTACTGACTCTCATCTGAGAACACATGGATCCTCCACTACTGATGTAGTTGTAGTTGTTGTTGGTGACCAAAGCAAGACGTTGCTGACGATGATGGGGAGTGAGCACTGGACCCCTGTATGCGAGCCGAGTTCGAACGGTATCAGCACTGATAGGTTGCTGATGTCTGGCTGTGGTGAATCTGTCATGCAGATGTTGCCGCTGGATATAGCCGTCTTGTCTAGGTGTTGTGATTCGGGGATGACCATTAAGTGGACGGTCATCAGTGCTGTTGGTGGCGTTGTAATGAATACGAAGTCTCTCAATGGTTCGTACAATACAGTTAAATGCATTGGCAATGATTTGAGCGCATTGTCCAGCATTTAATCGTCCGATGGCTTGTTCACGTTGTTGGGAGGTAAGACGTGTCATGAGCTCACTGTCTTCACAGCAATTGAATGTCATAAACTGGCCTCTTAGATTAACAATTTTGATCTTTGTACAAACTCTGTGTACTTCCATCTTGTACAAGGCTTGAAATTACTCCATTACTCCGGACATTTTGTTTTGTCTGGCACTATTCAATTTGTGTCGGACATTTGAAATTTTGTTCATAAAAATACAGTATTTTCAATTGAAAAATTGCAATTAAAACCCATCAATTTAGGACTGAAATTCACTTTTTTCTCACCTGCAAGTACAATACAGGTTAACAACTAGCTAAGAATAGTTTGAGTAATTCAAATAGGCCATAGGGAATATTTATAATCCGGCTTAAACGAGATTGTACCGGAACTGGACATTTTCCGAAATTGTACAGGGTCCGTGACTGGTCGCTTATTTCAAGCCTTGATCTTGTAATATCATTTAATATTTAAGGAATGACCTGGCCATTCCTTATAATTAAATCATCTCGAATAAGTGTTTAAATATTTATGTAATATAACAACAACTTAAGGATGGGTTCCCTTTTTTTCATTTATGGAAATGAAAATGCTAATACTTATATGAATAGAAAGTAGAGGTGTTCTAATGACTTCGAAAAATACCAATTTCTCTCAAATGTCCATAATTAGCTAAATTAGAAGAGAATTACCAGCAGAATTCAAATGAGTGACCGACCAAGAAAGGTAAAAAGTTTTTTTGTTTATCCAGACTGTCATACATGGACATTCATGATTGGTTAAAACTCTTAATTACATGCAATATAAGAACATTATGGTATGATTAAGAATACATGATAATTCATTAGAAACACCAATTAATCAAATAGTTTGCTTAATTTAACACTAAAAGATAAGGAAACCCATCCTCAAGGCACTAAATTGGTGCATAAATACATTACATTTTAACATAAGGTTAATGAACTGATACTAACAATAGGTACGTCCAAGAGATCAGCAATAAGAGGTTCACCTATTTATAGTCTAGTGTCCACTACATGAAAGTTAACAGAGCGGCCAAATTGGAAGTTCAATTATTGAAAGACAAGTTTTCTAAATTAGTCCAGAAGTCATGATATTGTTGGAATTTGGAGTGTGCACATTTGAAGGAATTTAGAAAATACCTTATTCATTCAGTGATGTGTCGATTTTGGCTTTGCTGACGTTCAAAGCAACTCATCAAACTCAATGATATAAGTAGTCTGTTAAGGGGCGGAGCTTATATTTTCATTCCGTTTACACAGTTATAAACTAAATGCCATGACCGCCGTTTTCCAATCAAATTGTGTGATACCATGTAAACGGAATTGTGATTTAAATTATAAAGCATTAAACATTACCTTCATGGTTATCTCTGCAAATGTCACAAAATCTTTATCAATAATAGCTTTTGTTATATTTTTGATTCTATTAGGTACAATTTCTATACGTTTCTGTAATAAGGTACTGTTCTGTACACTGATCTGCATTCCTTGAGTACTACCAGTATGTTTCTTTTGATCAGACACCTAGAGATAGATGTGATAGATAGAGAAAGAAAACTTCAGATACTAGAAATGAAATGAAATGAATGGAGTTTTTACGTCCTACTTTTCTGCACCATGTGGGCTAATGAAGACGGGCAACGCCATGCAGAGTGCAGTGAGGGAAATTTTGCCAGGACAGCAGCATTTGCCTGTTCTTTTTCGATTTCCAACTGTCGATGGTTCAGATACTAGAACAGCTGATTCTGATAGAAACATACTCTCCCCAAAGAAGGAGCAGAAGGACAGTGCAAAAAAAAGGTATAGCTAGTATTATTACAATAAACAGAAAGTGGATAACCCATTTATTGCAGGATGGTTTGAGGGCAAATATGAAATGTCATTTTTGCCATTAAATGAAAGCTACTAAAACTTACCACTAAAACTAAAATACACATTTCTGGCCAATGATGATCATGTGTTACTTGTTTAGCTATAGAATCTGATCCATCAGACAAGCTTCCCATCTGCCATTCTACAAACCCACCATAAATACTTCTACAAGCACTGCCTGATCCTAGTCTAGAATAACAAAAATGGTGATTAGTCTTTGGAAGTAAACAGCCATAAACTATGTATGGTTCTTACATGGAAATAAAACATACATGAAAGCCGTTTACAACAATTTTTACGTCCTCAACTTTATAAGTCGAATCATATTTTAAAGGTTTAGAAATGGCTTTAAATATGATTTGAAAGGCTTTGTTGAAATCTTTTTAAAAATTTGACCCATTAAGTTGAGATGGTGACAAAAATTGCTGTGAAATACGTTTGTGCTATTTCCATGTTTAGTTTTGTATGCTATTAACAGCTTGCCAATTTTACTTGTTTGTTTCTATTAATTTTTGGAAAGTCATCAGTGTTTGGTCAACCTGACCAACTACAGCACAACTTCTTACCAGATAATAATAATTTAGCAACAAGAAATTTTGAGTTGTGTTCAGTACTAAGCAAACAATTGTTCTGCTATATTTTTGACAGTAAATCAAAAAAGTTTTGATGATACACACTCACCTGGCAATATCAGAAATTTCTCCTTGAACATTAAACAACTTGCTCAGAGAATATACTGTAAATAAATTGAAAAAATTAATTAAGTACACCTGTTTCTTTTTAAATAAATATTGTTATACCTTCAGCTTAAGTGTTAGTAGAATATGAATTTTCACAAATATTCTTGGTTTAGACGGATCAATTGAACAGTTTACATATAATTAAACTACATAAGGGACACTGTTATCCAGAAATTTCAAAATATGTGTTTAAAAAAAACATACCTAAACAGGCATATCCTGCAGCAGATGATGCTAATCCTGCAGCTGTGGGGAAATTATTTTCTGAACAAATATGAATTTTTTGATTAAGACCATCTACTGAATCTTGGTTTCCCTTTCTTTTTCTTGCTCTTCTTCGAACTGAAACATTATTCTTTTGCAAAAATCAAAACTAAAATATTATGAAGTACTGTTATTTTGAGACATATATGTGTTATATAATTTATTTTACAATAACTTTTAAACAGTATTTAAAAACTAATTTGAAATAACTCACTTTCTCTAAAAACATTCTGAATTCTTTTAGAAACAACACCTTCTTCCCTGTAAAGATCGAAAGATACATAAGCATGTAAGGTCACACATACATTGGTGTGTAAACATAACAATGTTGAATTAAAAAAAAAATTGAAACAGACAAAGTCTCATCAATATAACAAAAATCATCATTCCTATCAAATTAAAAATTATTTTTGAAAATTTTTTCAAAGATAAATTAAACATTATAATATTTAAATACATTCTCGTAATAATTTCACTTTCACTTCAAGACCTAACCAGTCTTCTAATAATATTTAGTATATTTTAAAAAGTTTCACAGCATAATTTCTTTTAATAGCTAATTTCAGCTTATATAACACACCAACTTCTCTTATCACCCTTACATCAACACACAAAGTTTTATGTTTATATTTCATATTGTATTGATTATAAAGAAAGTTTACTGATTAGATTTCATTAAAATTATAATGAACCACTCACTTCCCATTTAACCACATCTTATCCTCTTTGAAACTTGAATCAACAGCAACAGTTGTCTTTGCTCTGAGCTGAAGAAAATAGATAGTCAATTTTATTACATGAGTTCTTATTACATTAACTTCAAACTTGCATAGTGTACCTTTTTTATTGCCAATATATCTATCGAGACTCTAGAATATCAAATAATATTAGATCACATCTTTTTAACATAAATTTTGTCTTTTCGGAAAGATAGAAGAGCTTAACCCTTTGAACACTGAGTGTAACATAATAAACATCATAAACCAGAACTCCAAGTAATATAACTTAAAGCTTATAATGTTAATGCTATTTGACGTCACTTGGTAAAGACCACTTTACTCGACCCCCAGGTATATATTGCGTAATTATGCTGCTTTTAGGGTTAAAAGTATAAAATCACACAAAAAAGTTCCAAATATTGACTTTTTATGATGAACTTCTAGTAACATATTTCTATTACTAGATGTAGTTTACATGAAAATACAAATATCTCCAAACCTCATCTTGACCAAGTGTTGCACTCAGTGAGGAGTTGGTTGGTAAAATCAAATCTTCATCTTTCTTTCCCCCTACAATATAAAAAAAAAATATCATTTGAAATAAAATTTAAAACATACTTTATTAGCTGTACTTATGGACAACAATCATAAACTAGAGCCACACGTGGCACAGAGTGGGACTTTGCAAATGTAGCAAAATGCAAAAGACTCTGAAAAAATCAACCTTCTACGACAATAAGTTCACGCGCAAGAGCTGTCTAAAGTTGAGAAGAATTCTTTGGAAGATTGTTATAATGGAAGTAGACAGACCTCACAAATGAAAGTATCAGAAGATAGCCAAGATCAATGACATTTGACATTGAAAGGGAGACGGTCAAAAAAGGTCAAGGTTACGAGATAAAAGTCATCAAAATTTTTAAATATATACGGCTATAAAACCGGAAGTGGAGATAGGACAGAAAATATAAAAGTATAAATAGATAGCCAATGTGAATGACCTTTAATCCTACAAAAATCAGGGTCAAAAAAGGTCAAGGTCAAAAATTGAAAATTTTGAATTTTCAAAAGCTGTTCCTTTTTTTGAACTATAATGCTGAAACAATCGAAATTCCAAGACAACGTGGCTCAACGGATGAAGTAATTGTATGCAAAGTTCCATTTTGAACAAATGTATACGTTGCGAGGTATGTCCCTTGCCAAAATTGTCAATAATGAGTAATTTAACCCGGATGTGCTAGGCCCACCTCAATTTCTTTTGCATAGGTTAATTGATATTCTGAATGTTAAGTTGTGTTCCAAATTTAAAGCTTCTACATCATACAGGTCAAAATATATAGGTCAACAAGAGTCAATAAAGGTCAAAATAGAAAATTGAAAATATGGAAATTTCAAAACCTGTTCCTTTTTTGGAACTATAAAGCTGAAACAATTGACCTATTAACACAAACTGGCCAAAATAATGAGGTAATTGTGTGCAAAGTTCCTTTTTGAACAAATGTATCCTATGCGAGTTATGCCCCTTTCTCAAAATGTAAACAATTAGTAATTCAACCCGGATGTGCCACGCCCACCTCAACTTTTTTGTCATAGGTTAATTTATATTCAAATTGTCTTGTTGTGTTCCAAGTTTCAATGTTCTACATAAAATAGGTCATAAGATATATACACACCAAGCTCAAAGAAACAGAAATATTGTAAAAAAAAACTCAAATTTGAAAAATTCACGAATTTCAATTTTGCTTTAAAAAACGATTGTTATAAATCATTTGAAAGAGCATGAAAAGCACATTAAGAATCCGAAAAAATTAACCCTCTAGGTTAATTAGGTCAGTGCTAGAGCAGTCCAAAGTTGCGAATTTGGCTGTTTTCGGACAGCTATAAAACCGGAAGTACATGTCGGAGGTCAAATGTCAAAGTATTAACTGATAGCTAAGGTCAATGACCTTTGACCTTATGAAGGTCAAGGTCATCAAAGTTCACTATCACGAGATATGACCCTTCAAACTTTGGAAAAATTCAACCGGATGTTACAAAAAAGCAAAATTGTGAATCGAAAAACGGCTTCCTAATGTCATGTTTTTTTTTATCTTCTTTCATTTGACACCAAAATCATTTAAATCGGATGAGCCATTATGTCTGAATAGAAATCGAATCATTTCAGAAAAATCAAAATGGCGGCCAAAGTTTCACGTCTGTTCCGAATTTTTTTTTCTTCGTTTTTTTGTCATAACTTTGTCTACCTATCAGCATAAAAATTTTTGTCCTGTACAAATTACACCGGAAGATATTCAACCGGAAGTGAACATCGTTTTCCTGTTTAAACCGGAAGTGAAATTGAAAATTTGACTGTACCATTCTGTTTACATTCTTAAACTGTCTTTGCTCAATTTTTTCAGATTAATCAGACAAAAAGCAAAAAAAATGAAAAAAATGCAAATTTTGGCAAAAAAAATGTCTGCGACAAATTTTCGAATTTTGAAATTTTGAAACTGCTATTCTTTCAGATTTTAACAGTAGATTCCAAAAATGCAAACCCAAAGAAAATCGACCGAAAAATACGACTTCTAGAGCCGATTATCTATTCTCCCATATATTGAACTGTGGCACTTCCGGTTTTGCAAAAAAGATCAAAAATATATTTATGCACATCGTCGCCTATATCTAAGGTTCGTGAATGTTGAATGGTTGCTGCAACTATTGTAGTCTAAGCTCAGGAAGGTGTGCAAAAAATCGAAAAAAAAAAAAAACTAGACCCACTCGTGGCACAGAGTGGGACTTTGCTACTGTGGCAAATTGCAAGAAACTCTGAAAATATGGACCTTTTCGGTTAATTAGGTCACGTGCTAGAGCAGTCTAAAGTTAAGCCATTTTTCTCTTCAGAAAGTTGTGAAAACGGAAGTAGAAGTCAGAAATGAAAGTATCTGCGAATAGCCCAAGTCAATGACCTTTGACCTTGTATAGAGGAAGGTCAACAAAGGTCAATGTCAAAAATTGAAATTATGGAAATTCTAAAACCCGTTCCTTTTTTTGAACTATAAAGCTGAAACAACTGACCTTTTACCACAATCTGGCCAAATGGATGATGTAATTGTGTGCAAAGTCCCTTTTGAAAAAACGTAAACTATGCGAGTTATGCCCCTACCCCAGATTTAAACAATTTGCAGTTTGACCCGGATGTGCCACGCCCACATCAACTATTTTGCAATAGTTCTATTCATATTATAAATGTCTAGTAGTATTCTAAATTTCTAGATTCTAGATGAAATAGGTCATAAGATATACATAAACTAAGCTCAAAGAGACAAAAATACTGTGATAAACATTCAAATTTTAAAAATATACGAATTTCAATTTGCTTTAAAAATAGGATTGTTATACATCGCTGGAAAGAGCATGAAATGCACTTTAAGAATCTGAAAAAAATAACACTCTAGGTTAATTAGGTCACATGTTGGAGCAGTTCAAACTTGCAAATTTTGCTGTTTTCAGACACTCATAAAACCGGAAGTAGATATCGGATGCCAGATTTCAAAGCATCAAGTGATAGCAAAGGTCATTGGCCTTTGACCCAATGAAGGTCAAGGTCATTAAAGGTCAAGGTCATGAGATATGAGCCTCCAAACATCGAAAAAATTCAACCGGAAATTGCAAAAAAGCAAAAACGAAATTCAAAAATCGGCTTCCAAGCAATTTTGGGTAATCGATTGCAATTAACAAATACATCAAAATTACTCACATCCATCTCTACCCTAAGGCCCCATTTTGAGTTTTACAAAAGTGTATCATATCAATATGGCGGCCAAAGTATGACTTCCGGTCCGGATTTTTTTTTCTTCGTTTTTTTGTCTTAAAAATGACTACTGATCAGCATACATTTTGTTGAGATATATCAATTACACCGGAAGCTATTCAACCGGAAGTCAAAATCGTTTTCACGAGTTAGCCGGAAGTGATACAAAAATTTTGATTAAACCATTTTTTTTATTTTGGCGAGTTGTCTACACACATAAATTTTAAGATCAATTGGCGAAAAAAGTGAAAAATTGCAAAATTCGACTGAAAAAAGTGTGCTACGAATTTTCGAATTTCGAATTTTTTCTACTGCTATCAGTTCAGATATTCTTTGTAGATTCTAAAAATGAAAACCCGAAGAAAATCGACTGAAATTTGCGACTTCTAGAGCCCATTTTGTATTTTTTGCACATGTTTCAACGTAGCACTTCCGGTTTTGCAAAAATGTTCCAATATACATTTAAGGCATACATCGTCAAAAAGTAAAGAATACTAGTTTTTAAGATTTGATGTAGCTGTCACAGTTGAAGCTGTGTGCTCTTTGTAAAATAAACCAAAATTCAGACAGGGAAAATTTCAGAAACAAAGAAATACTAGAGCCACACGTGGCACAGAGTGGGACTTTGCAAATGTAGCAAATTGCAAAAGACTCTGAAAAAATCAACCTTCTACGATAATTACATCACGCGCAAGAGCAGTCTAAAGTTGAGAAGAATTCTTTGGAAGATTGTTATAACGGAAGTAGACAGACCTCACAAATGAAAGTATCAGAAGATAGCCAAGGTCAATGACATTTAACATTGAAAGGGAGAGGGTCAACAAAGGTCAAGGTTACGAGATACAAGTCATCAAAATTTTTAAATATATACGGCTATAAAACCGGAAGTTGAGATAGGACAGCAAATATAAAAGTATAAATAGATAACCAATTTGAATGACCTTTGATCCTACAAAAATCAGGGTCAAAAAAGGTCAAGGTCAAAAATTGAAAATTTTGAATTTTCAAAACCTGTTCCTTTTTTTGAACTATAAAGCTGAAACAATCGAACTTCTAAGACAACGTGGCTCAACGAATGAAGTAATTGTATGCAAAGTTCCATTTTGAACAAATGTATACGTTGCGAGTTAAGTCCCTTGTCAAAATTGTCAATAATGAGTAATTTAACCCGGGTGTGCTACGCCCACCTCAATTTCTTTTGCATAGGTTAATTGATATTCTGAATGTTATGTAGTATCCCAAATTTAAAGCTTCTACATCATACAGGTCAAAAGATATAGGTCAACACAAACTGGCCAAAATAATGAGGTAATTGTGTGCAAAGTTCCTTTTTGAACAAATGTATCCTATGCGAGTTATGCCCCTTTCCCAAAATGTAAACAATTAGTAATTCCACCCGGATGTGCCACGCCCACCTCAACTTTTTTGTCATAGGTTAATTCATATTCAAATTGTCTTGTTGTGTTCCAAGTTTCAATGTTCTACATAAAATAGGTCATAAGATATATACACACCAAGCTCAAAGAAACAGAAATATTGTAAAAAAAAAACTCAAATTTGAAAAATTCACGAATTTCAATTTTGCTTTAAAAAACGATTGTTATAATTCACTTGAAAGAGCATGAAAAGCACATTAAGAATCCGAAAAAATTAACCCTCTAGGTTAATTAGGTCACGTGCTAGAGCAGTCCAAAGTTGCCAATTTGGCTGTTTTCGGAAAGCTATAAAACCGGAAGTACATGTCGGAGGTCAAATGTCAAAGTATTAACTGATAGCTAAG